GTGTTATCAGATATTGTAGGCCGTTACTAACATTTCCCAACTGTGGACTCTGTGGGAAGTGGAGAAATCATTAATTTTTTCTCTTTTTTGAGATGAGGTCTCACTTTATTATGTTATTCACAGTTACAGTTTTTCTTTGTTCTTATAGTCTATCAATTATGAACTTGGAAATTTTTATCCTGTCATGAAATGAACAGCTGTGTTATGGCTATAATGTAAGTAGCCAATTCTATGTACTTTGCAGTTCTAACACTTCTGGCAGTTTCAAAACACTCTCCTCTGGAAACCTGGGCTGGGTGCATCCTCCCTGCTTCTCTGGCCTCTGCAGTGCTGAGGAGTGGAGGGGGTAAGCCTGGAGCCAGGGAATGCAGTAAGAGCAGTTTAGAGCTGACTCTCAGCCACTAGAGAAAACAGCAGAGTACAGGCTTGGGAGCCATCTGGGGGGCAGGATGTATGAGATCAGTGGCAGAGCACTTGCATAGCCCGTGGAGGCCCTGGGTTCTACCTGCAGATCAGAAGAAAATGAGAGTACAGTTTAAGAGGTAGCAAGGGTATGATGTGGGGGATGGAGAAGGAAGTCAGATTTTTGAAGTGCAGGTCATTTTGGTGCCTGAAGACATACAGCTCTAAAAGAGAGTTAAGTTTAATTTTAATCATGTGATGCGTGCAACAGACTCCTTTGTCCCATCTCAGCCAACCTAGGGAGAAAGGAAGAGTCATGGCTGATCTCAGGAAGACGGCTTGGGTGTCTGCGAAGATGGCAATCTCCCTGAGGTGGAGATCCTGGCAGAAGGAGCAGGTTTAGGGATGGACCTGGGGAGGCTTGGAATGGGGAAGCTGGTCTGCTTGTGGACAGAGAGGTCTGGACTCCAGAAGGCTATTCTTTGGATTGTGGACCTCTATCTTCCTGGTTACGTTTCTGTTGTTTAGATTTGTTCTTCTATTTTGTGCTTTTTTATTTGTTTGATATGGGATCTCACTTAGGCCTGCCTTGAACTCCTGAGTAGCTGGGCTACAGAAGTGCACCACTGTGCTTGGCTAAAAAAGATCAAAACTCAGATGCTAGGAGACAAAGAGAAGCCAATTATAAACGCGTGTACACACATATGTACATACACGTATTGTTATCAGGAAGGAGAGGGTTGGAGTTGCAAAGACAATAGATGTTTCTCCGCATTTGCTTACGTATAAATCCATGCAGATGCCCCACTCAGTCTCAGCCCCTCTTAACAGAACTACCTCTATCCTATTTTCTAGTTGCTCACTCCAACAATCCTTGTGGTGGAGTGGTCACACCCAAGAGGACAGTAACTGGTTTGCCTCCCTCTTGCCATTTCATGGTGACTTTTGTACTGAGTCACAGTTTTGGGGAAGGAGCAGCTGTCCAAGGACCAGAGATTGGCTTAGTCTAATCTCAGGGGGTGTCCTCATTTGTATCTATATGGGTCCCTCTTTCTGTCGCTTTTCACTCACAGATTGTGTGACATTTTGGAGGGTGGAGTGACTGGGCACCTAGCCCACCACTTCCTACCCCAATCTGGCCCTGGACACAAGCCACATGATGCTGGCCATCAGCCTGGCCCCTCGCCCATCTATTACAGCCTCAGCTGCCTGGCTGGCACAGGTACCAAAAGAAACAGCCCTTGCTTCCCCCACTTCTGTTTCTGGGACTGAGGTGGCAGAGTCAACTAAGGAAGGCACAGTCAAGGTGGGGACTACGGCCACCGCCCTGAACAGTGGAAGGGAAGCTTGTGTTTTCAGGGGCACTGCTAAAGCTCAGCTTCTGAATGTGTAGGGCTGGGGCAGAACTGGGAAGGAACAGGTGGCTTCTGTGATGTGGAGACAGTCACTAGGGCCGAGGAGATATCTCCTCCCCTCATGCAAGGTCTGTGCAAGGCATAGTTTTCATGCTTGTGGGCCTGTCCAGTAGGGAGTGTGATAGGGCCGATGCCTAGGTGGCTCCAAGGTGGCCTCTCAGGATACAGAGGTTTGTCCCATGTGGGAGTGACTCCTGAGAAGCTGCTAGAAGGGTAGAGAAGTGCAGGTATGGGCTGAAGCTTTGAGCCTTTCCACCCTGGAAAGAGCAGCTGTATCTGCTATGGAGGAGACATGAGGACCATGGCAAGGAGGACTCTGACTGTGGAAGACATGTACCCTGCTTCCTGGGGCCAATAGTCTGGCTCTGGATGTAAACTGGATTTCTGCATGGGCTGGGAAGGATAGGTCAATGCCCAGTCTTGGTGAATCATGTGACCATGGGAAGTGCTGGTCATGCTTGTCTTTACACCCATGTGAATTGTATGTTCAAATATGTGAATCCCCTGAGGAGATGTTGGGTGGTGAAGGGGTGAGAAGGCTGGAAAAGATGGAGAATTTATGAGCTGCTTTTGTCAGGAGACAGTCGTAATGAAGAAAATTCAATTTTCTGCAGCTCGGAGAGTCAATATGTTAAATCTTGGAGAAGCTGTGGAGTGACAGCAGAATGGCAAAGTCAATGGGACGTGTGTGGGAGGGAAGCTGTCTATCTGTGTCTGCAGTGGTGCTGCCTCCTCTCTGTACCCTTGAACTGAAGCTGGGGGACAGGATGGTACCGATACCTGGGTTTGCGGAACTGTTCCTCTCTATCTTCCTCTGTGACTAGAAAGGGAGGACTCTGATGTCTCTTACCTGCTTCTTATAGTGCAAAAGGCTGCCCCTTTTCAGGTACCTAGTCATAAGGAAGTCCTTCTTGTAGTCTAACCAGCCCTTTTCTTGCTGCAGTTAATAATTTCATAGTGATTTCTATAACCCAAAACGATTAGTAGGACGATTCTTTTTTCATTCCAGCTTCTCATTTTCACTTTCCCGTCAGCATCTCTGTGGCTGGCCTCTTATTTCCCAACAAGATTCAACTTTTCCTAGTCAGCTTTCATCTCCTTCCTACCAGCTTTCCTATTTTATAGGCAGCAACATAGAAGATGGTGGTGTGTGGCAGTATGTGTATGCGTGTGTGAGTGTAGCTGGGGATTCCTCTGTGAGCCACAGTGTCACCAGGAGCTGTGATTAGCTGAGCTGCTGGCTGTGTAATTGGCGTGTGCCCGCGTCCCGGGGGTCTGGTGTGTTAACAGCGGGTCCCTGTGGTGAGTAACGAGATCATGCCCATGGCTGGTTGCACACGCTAATTGATTAGTACTTCTCTGGTGTCTTGGGATGAGGAGGAGCTGGAGGAGGTCATGATGGGGTGTCTCAAAACCCCAGAGTCCAGCTCCTTGGGCCCTGGCGGTCACCTTAAGTCCCAGTTGGGATGGGAGCCCGCAGGCTGGAGTGCAAGGTGAAGGCTCACAGAGTGAGGTCAACATACCTGGGGCTCTGGCTGGGAGAACGGTGTGCAGTGCACCTTTAGCTAAGAGTGGTCTTCCCCTACCAGCTCTGTGTTTCTCTGGCAGCCCAGAGAGGAGGGAGTGGGCAGGCAAAAGGGTCTGGGGCTCTTCTGGCCCCACTCCTGCAGCCTGCCCTCCCTCAGCCTTCAAGCCCAGCTTCACAGCCATTGCACTCACCACTGTCCAGCCCCCAGAGCGCTTTTCCACCTCCCGCACCTGAAGACCAGTTTTCCCTCTTACAGTGAATCCAGGATCAGACACCTCAGACCTTGCATTGACCTTGAAGTCCAGAAACCTATGTCTAAAACCTGTGAACTGGAACCCAGATATTTGAAAGAAATACTATAGAAAGCCTGAACATAGGGAGAGGGGAGAAGGTGGGGAGAGAACCCCACAATTTCCCAGGGCAGTATGATCGGGATCACTTAGAACAGCAAGAAAGATTAAGGTGAACGGGCAAGAAGAGCTTCCACTGGGCAGAAGATTCTACTTGTCTGCTGAGGCAGAACTCTGTGCCTGATGCTGGGAGAGAGGAGGATGAAAAAGGACCCCCCAAGGAGATCCCTTCTCCAGAGTGCTGGGATTTAGCAAGGCTGTGCGTGTGTGTGTGTGTGCGTGTGCGTGTGCGTGTGTGTGTGTGTGTGTGTGTGTGTGTGTGCGCGCGCGCGCGCATATACAGGAGAAAGCAAGCAGGAAGACGAGACTGCGGCAGGGACGCTTTGGCTTCCATGTGGAAGCGCGAGTCCTGTTCCCGCACGCGGTAATTGCTAAATTACCCGCCATCTGCTCCGCTCTCAGACATAAATTATCTGCGAGGAGGAAAGACGCAGAGGCGGCGCGCTTTTCCTCCTCTCCCCAAACCCGCACAAGGAGCTAAGGCGGAGCCGCCTGGCAGCGTGGGTGGGGCACGGCCTCAGGAGAACAGTAGCGTGCCCCGCGGCCCTGCCCTAATGCCCAGTGGCCGGGGTGGCCGGCACGCCGGGGCGCCCGTGGCTGCCCGAGGCCCGGGGAGGGGCGCTTCCGGAGGGCCAGGCTTCCCTCAGGTGTGACCGCTTCGCCGCGGCAGGTTTCCTCCAGGTCACCCTGCCCTTCCTCGCCTCGCTCCCTGCTGCCCACTACTTTGCTTGTGGGGAGGTATCTCTGCAGCTGTAGAGTATCCCAGTATCTGACCAGGAGGGCGGGCAGAGGGCAGCAGGAGGCATAAGCAGAGAGAAAAGGGGCAAACCTTTCCGCTTTCAGTCTGCCTGGGTTTCACTTTTGCCCCCTGGTTCTGCAGGTGGGAGAGGCATGAGAGCAAATGTAGGAGAAATGCCTTGCAATGGTAGGCTGCAGCAGGGTGGAGGGATGGAGGTGATGGGATGTGGGTCTCCTGGAAGGTGAGGTGGGCTGGGGAGCCAGGCAAGACAGGCAGGTGGACAGGACAAGGGGGAAGGCCGGGAGGGGAGGCTGGAGGGTTGTCTGGGGGTGGGGGGAGATGAAGGGGAGGCAGGTGGGCAGGAAGATGGGCAGGTGGGGAGGTGGAGACAGGAGCAGGTGCAGGAGGCTGCAGCGGGGGAGAGATGGGAAGCAGGGGGAGGTGATGAACCAAGACGGGACAATGGTAGATGGAAACTCAGGGCTGCCGGGGCAGCGGTAAGTTGTCCCGATGGAGCATCAGAGTGGGAAACGGGGAGACAGCAAGGTGTGCAGCAGCGCAGACATCGGAAAGGATGAAGGGAGCAAAGGCTGTGGCACCGAAAGCCCGGGGTTTGTGGGTCCCCGGAGGGTTCCAGGAAGGTGACAGCCCGAGAACCACTTCCTGCCCGGCCGACTGTGGCAGGGAGCCAGGGAGGCCAGCGGAGCCGCAGTAGGGGTGTGGCCCCTCCTCCCTAGCTGCAGGCACCTGCGGAGAGGGGTGTGTCACGGGGTGGGGGCGAGCTGGGCCCATTCCCAGCTCTGAGCGCAGGAGCTGGTGGGGTTTCTTCGGAGCGATTGTTTAGTATTCATGGGACGACGCAATCTCTCCCACATCTGCTTAGCACAGCAAGTCCTGTCATATAACTGTCTCCCGCACTGTCTGTCCATAAAGAATGTCTCGGAATTGGTGTAATTCAGAGAAATTAATGACGACTTTCCGCGGGACGGCTCCCTGGGGGATGATTAACACTTCATCGTCCATCTGATGCGCGGGGCCCAGCGCTCCATCGCGAACATTTGGGCCGTGGCCAGCCGCATTAGAGGTTATTACGGAAAACGCGACCTGCAAACTGGCGAGAGGCATGATGGACCAGGAGGGGCGGGAGTGAGGGCGGGCGAGTCGGTCGGAGCGGGCCAAGTCCGGGATCAAGTTTCCTGAGGTGTGCACCCCTGAGGGTCTGAGGCCGAAGGAGACTGGGATTCTGTTTCAGCGCCCGCAGGTCTGGGAGGGTGTTGGGGAGCTGCTCTGCCCCTGCCTCTACCGCAGAGGCCAGGGAAGGGAATGAGATTGCTTTTCAGAGTGGGCCCATTTTCTAGTTGAGGCTTTGCTTGTCTTTTAATCCTCACAGCACTATTGGGTAAGTTTTATTAAGTCTACCTTACAGTTAATGTAACTGAGGCTCAGAGAGGTTGTGTAATGTGTCCAAGGTAACACAGCTTATGAAGAAGCAAAGGCAGGATCTGAACTCAGATCCTTGATTCCTGAGCTCTTGCTGTCTCCACCACACCATGGGCAAGAGAGTCTTACCCTTTTAAATGTCTGCCTCACCTACCTGCACAGGGATAGGGGGTGCTCAAAAATGTTTGTTGTGTGACTGAATGATCTTTGTAAGTTCCACTTTCATGGCCTGAATAGGCAGGGAAGGGAATATAGCAAAAGGGCTCCATTTTGGGCTAAGAAACTCAAAGTAGGTTTTCTCGAGGCTTGTGTCCCTGGGCACTCTAAGGCTCTAGAGTCTACATGACTGGTCTTTAGATTCTTAGTCAGCAGAAAGGACTAGAGGGGTGTGTTTGCGTATAAAAGTGATGAATGTGAGTGTAAAAAAGTTTGTGTGTATGCATGTCTATAGAGTTTATGTGTCTGCTGCATCTGTGTACGAATGTGTGTGATATGTGAGTGTGTGCAGGTGTGTATTTTGAGGGTCTGTCTGTGTGAATATGCATTACATGTGTGTATGTGTGCAGGTGAATGTGTGCATATGTGCACATGTGTGATGTCCCAGGGGAGCCTGAAGACTCCTTTGAAGACATCTGTGACTTGCTCAAATGTCTGGTATGACTGACAGGCTCTGGAGGTGGTCTATAAGGGTGAGGTCGAGGCCAGGAGAGGAAGGCTGTTTCTGCTGGGCTGGGTAGGGTCCTGGGGAGCCTGGCCAGTGGGTGACTTTGCCCTGCTAGGCCCAGGGGGATGGCAACAGGGGCCCAGACCTGAGGCTGGCCCAAGTCTGGGTCCTGAGGCCTTCATGCGGGGCTTGAGTTGGAACTGTTTGGGAGCACTGCTCTGGCCTGGGATGGTGCCTGGATAGTGGACGGTTTAATAACCTCTTCTCTCTCCCACCCTGCTCTCCACAGGTTTTAGCAACTAGCTTCTGACTGTCCTGCAGTTCCTGAGACACACTACTCTGCCTCAGGATGGGAGATCCCTGGAGTCTTTGTGTGCAACCTTCTGATGCTGGGAGGATCGTGCTTCAGGGAAAAGTTCACTCGTCAGCTCCACACAAGGACCAAAGCAACCTCTCTGTGCCTTGGAGCCTGACAAGGCCATGTCTATGTTCTCACTGAATTGGATGCAAACAATTTGTCAGGCCATTAGTGGGGCAAGTTCTTCTGTGAGTCTAACCTCAAGTCCTCTTCTATACTGTATCCAAACAGTCACAGGCTAGATTTGTGAAATGAGAACCTCGCCCTCCCCCTTTCCTGCAGCATGGGAGTAGTTGTTTCTGGCTTGCTGAATAGGTCTGGAGAACAGGGACACCAAGAACATAGGACTAAACCTGCGGGTGGGTCATAGATGGATTCTTTGGGAGGAGGACAATCATCAGTCGCACAGTCTCAGAGAAGGTGTTCAAGACTTAAGTTCCTGCCCTCCTTACAGACAGGAGCCAGAGTGTCTTGCTATCGGGTGGCTGTGTCTGAAAAGTTCAGGCTCCTGGTTCCTGTTCTAGGAATCTTTCTTGTGTTCCATCCGGAGGACCTTAGAATCTGTTGCTGGTCTCTCGGCTTTATGGAGGCAGGGAGGTGGAATGGGGGAGTGTTCCGGCCGGGATGGAGTTCTGCCCCCTTTTTCCTGCAGAAACCTGCAGTGACCTCCTCCTGGCCTTCCTGGCCTTCCTGGCGGCCTGGAGGTCTCTTGCCCACCGCTGCGCTTCCTTCTCCCTCTGCAGGACCCTCAGGCTGCTCTCTTATCTCCACCTCACCTAATTAGGGCCCTTCCTCCTTGCCTTGTGTAGTCAGTCTCTCCTTGCCTGAGCCATCCTTGCCCCTCCCCCTCAGCCCTGTGTAGTCCTGTCCCACGCTCTCTTCTTCTGGGAAGCTCATCTATTTAATCTTCCTGTGCCAGGGTCCCAAAGGGTCCCTTTCTAAACCACTGCTGAGGTGCCTGGGCTACTTCTTGTTTTTTCCTTTCCTAGTTGACTGCCCCCCTCCCTACACCCCCCTGAGGACAGCTGTGACTTCCTTCTCTCCCAGGACCCCTCTGCATGCATCAGCAGGGTCAGAACTGCAGTGGAGAGTGACCAAGACTTCCCTTTTTCTTCTTTTCTGGGAATGGCAGCAGTAATGGCTCTCATCTCGTTGTGGGAGGCAGTGGTGCAGACCCCTTCCGAGACCTCCTCCTGATGTTTGCTCCTGTTTCAGCCTAAGCCCTAGCTCTGGCTGCCTTTGGCCTTGTTACCAGCCTCTGCTAGGCACTGCTTTCCTGGGCCCCCGGGTGGGGGCCTGGCTGTGGTGTATCACTGGCCCCCACAATTTTTCCACTCGGGTTTCTCAGCGTCTGTCTTTTGCTTCCAGACCTCCCTCCACTTGTTCTTTCTCTCACCCAATCTGCACCCAGCCCATGTGTCCCCAGGGCCACAGTCCTTCCAGAATCTTCTTTGCAGAGGTTGGCTTCTGCCTGGGACAGAACGGGTAGAGTGGAGATCCGGGTGGAGACAGTGTCTGGGCTCCTATGAGGCAGCAGGCCAAGTTTGGGACTAGTCAGTGTACTGGCCGCCACCTTGTGGCGGATACTGAGAACTGCAGGATTTGGATCCGTATGCTAAGAGCAGATTCATGGAAAGGGAGAAGGGGATGCAGGAAGGGATGTTCATTATGAGGGCGATGGGCTTCAGCTTTCCAACTGACATTGGAGGCTTCCTCTGTGAGCTTTGAATTCCCAACTGGTAGGAGAGTACAAGCCTGGGAGAAGAGCCAAGTAGCAAGGACACTTCTAGATGGAGAGAGAAAATTGAGATTGACTTTAGGTCTCAAATGGACTGTTATTATCATCCATTGCTAAAAGAAGCCCAGAAAGGGAGACAAGGTAAAACTGAAGCAGGAGGAGTTGAAGTCTGACCTGCAGAAGGACTTCCAAAGTCAGCTCCAAAATGCATTTGAAGTTACTGCATCTCATAGCTGCACAGCTTTTTCAAAACTGATCCCCAACCCCTCAGAGACCCTTTCTTCTCCATGCTTACTGGGTCTATTCAGAAAACCCCAGGTTCCTCAGCCTCCCTACCCCAGTTTACCTGCGTCTCTGTCGAACATCCGTCCATTCTGCAGCACCGGCAATGGAGGGACCACCACGTAGCTAGTGGAGCTGCAGATGGAAAGTCAGCATCCCAAGAAAGTAGGGGAGAGTTCTGAGGGGGTGCAGCTCACTTTGGTTTCTTTTTTCCTACCTCCTTGGATTCTTGGAGGTAAAGAGTTTGGGACCGAGTGATCCACTTCACATAGAATTCTGATTGGGTTTCGGGATTCACCTAAAAGGGAACCTCTGAGTTTCAACTGCGAGCCCTGCTATTCCCTTCTGTAGAGTGGGTATTGTGGAGAGGGAGGGTGGGGTTGTTGTCCCTATCATCCTGGGTCCTTCTGATGTCCCTTAAGGTCTCTTTGCTCCACCTGAACCCTGTGCTCCCTCCGGCTCTCACAAGATCCTTGAGGTTCCTGTGTCTCCCCCACTCCCACAGCCCGACATGTTCCCCGGGGAGCTAAGTCACTGAGACCTCCCCCTCCTGCTGCCTTCCTTTCTCAGCTTCCCCTGGCGCTTTGGGAAGATGCTGGCCTGATGCCCTGGCTCTGCAGGCCCAGCACCCTCCCTCTGAGGTGCCATTCCTCCCCTGCCTCATTTGCTGCCGCTGACCTTACTGAGTTAAATTAAAAAGCAATGTTCTGTGTGCGGCTCCAGCTCTGTGGAGCTTGACTCTGGGAAGACGAAGACAATTACCGGCCTCTCCATCTCCCTCTCGTCTGGCTGCCTTATAATTTTTCCCCCTGCTGCCTGGTATGCAACATTTATGTTTTTAATAACACCAGAATGGTTTTGACCTTGGGAATTCATAGTAGAATGGGCACTGTGAGAGGCCCCGACGTGATTGGCGTCAGTCTCAGGCCCTTGCAGGGAGAAGGCTCTGGTGCCTCCTGGATTCTGGGGAAGGCATGGTAGGGGCTACATCCTGGGGTCTGGGGGTAAATTTCAAAGATCAGGGTGGACACAAAGATACATAGAGAAGAAGGAGGGAAGGGGAACATTTTGTCCTTTTTGGAATGGAAGTTAAAATAAGGTGTTAGAGAGGTTGGACAAGATGTTTTTCTCCTTTGATTTAGAAGGACCAGCCCTGGAGAAATGTTGGGAGATGCAATGAGTGGGGGCCATGAGGAAGGGGTTCAGCTCATTGGCCCACAGATTCCCAGTTGTGCCCACACTTATAACTGGTTCCATTCTTCCTCAGTGTCTCTCTCTGTCTCTCTGTACTGGGGACTGAACCCATAGCCTTCCACTGAGCTATATCCCAGGTCTTTTAAAATATTTTATTTTGAGACATGGTCTTGCTTAGTCACTAAGGTACCCAGGCTGGACTTGAACTTGTGATCCTCCTGCCTCAGCATATCAGAAGAGCAGGATAACAGGCATGCATTATCACTTCTAGCACTTACCTTCTCTCTTGCTCTCTAGCTCCAAAGAGAGTAGAAGGGAGCTCAGCCAGAGGACTGGGGCCATACCGGGGTAGACCTTCCCAGCTGAGTGTGTAGGCAGCAGGGATACAGCCCCCTCCCAAACCCTCCGCCTCGTCCTCTCTCTCTCCTGTGCTCCCTCTCCAGCTGACTGCACTTTTGAGGTTAAAAAAGGACCAGGGGCAGCAAGAAGGATCTGAGAAGAGGGTGGGAAGGTAACAGGGAGGAATGGGAGAGGCACAGAGCAGTGAGGGGCAGAGAAAGCATCCATAGGATGACAGAGCTGGGGACCCTGCATGGCACCCTTCTTCCTTGGTGAAGGATGGTAGGAGAGACCAACACAAGAATGGGAAAGGACATCTGTGTCTGTGTCTTCGAGGAGCCTCTGGAAATAGGGTGAAGAGGACAGTTTATAAATGAAGAGATGTTCCTGTTGCATTCAGGGAGGAGCAAGAGAGGCAGCGTTGTGTGCCTGAGGCTGAGGATTTGCAGAGGATTTACTGCGCTTAGGCAGAGTGCTACATGCTCTGGTTACATATGTAATCACGGGCAAGGGTGCAGTTTGGCATCGTTTTTTTTTTTTTTAAATTGTGGGGGCCTGCAGACAGTATGCATTTACTTCAAGCCCAGAAGTCAGTACCATAGGAAGAAGAGTCCTTGCTCTGAGAATCAAGAAAACTTGGTTTCTTCCTCTGATCTCAGTTATCAGCTGAGACTCTTGGGACTGTCACGTCTCAGCCTGTCATTTGCTGCAGGGTGAAGGAAACACCACAGAGCCCTTCCCTGCCAGCAGCTTCCGTGCTGGGGGTCCAGGGAAAGGAAGTGGGGAGGTCTAGGGTGGGTGATGCCATTCCAGGGGCACCGGAGAAAAGAGGCTGGTGGAGAAGTGTGCAAGAACGATTTCCTGACTTCACGCATATATGTGTTTTTGCTCAGGCTAGAGTGTCTCAGTCGGAGCAGCCCCGCGTGGCCTTGATCCATCCCAGACAAGAGTCCGGGGTTTCTGCCTGGCTCCGCAGGGGCGGCTGTTTTTTTGCCGCCCTCCTGTGGCCACCGAATCCCTAGCAGATCGCTGCTGTAAAGAATAAACTCGAGTTCGCAGAGCTGGGCCCTGCCCCCTGGTGGAAAATTGCATGTATTACAAGAAGCGATCTTGAGTTTCCAACAGCATCTTTTTGCTTCAACCGTTTCTAGAGTCCATGACCTCTTCAAGGATGGAAAGGACTTCCTGAGACATAACCTTCTATATTTTTGCCTAAAGTTTGAAGTTCTGGGTTTGGAAAGCACACTGTGGAGACAAGGCGTTGAGACTGAGTAGAAGACGATTTTTTTTTCCTCCTTGGGTTTATCCACAAACCCAGGTTTGTGGGGTTGTGGACTTTTCCAAGAAAGAAGTCAGGGTCTAGTGACATTCCTGGAGGAAACAGGTCTGGAGCAGACCAGGCATTATGCATCCAGGTTTCTTTGAAGTTGCACCTGAGCTCAGTCCATCAGCGTCAGCCAGGAGATGGATTGGCAGGAGCCAGGAGGCAAGAGACAAGGATGATGGAGGGAGATGGCATATTTGACAGATGCTGACAGGGCTCGTTATTTGCTAGCTCTGGAATCCCCTCCCACCCACCCGGCTGCCCTTGGCCCTCCCCTGCTAGTACTCAATGCTCATTAGTGACTGTCTGTCTTTGAGGAGGGACCAGGCAGCATTGGAGTAGACCAGGGAGGGAGGGGAAGAGGGAGAAATACCAGCAGATGATGGAGGAGTAGTGGTTGGCAGGATTGGGATGCTGACAGGCTTGGTAGGGAAAATTGTCCGGGGGATGGACAGAGTTGCTGGGGCCGAATGGGTGGAGGAATGGGAAGGCTGCATAAAGGAATTAAATTCCAGTAGTTTAAGCATGGGTTTGGGGAAACGGGTAAAATATGGGCCAACAACTTTATTGAGAGCTTACTGTATACAGAGAAAGTTTACATGTGCTATGAGGGGGTACAAAAGGGCTCCACCCCACATTTTCCACTCTTGCTCCCCTATATTAACACCTGCTGCTGTCTTCCTTGGAAGTGTTGCTCTACTTCTAAGGGGTGCAACGGGCAGATACTTTTTTTCTTTCCTTTTTTTTTTTTTTTTTTTTTGTCTTTTTCATTTTTATCGGTACCAGGGATCGAACTCACGACTGCCTGCTTGCAAGGCAGGCGCTTATGCAGCTGAGCTAAACCTCCAGCCCCAGGGCAGGTACTTTTAAAAAGCTTTTCCCTAGTGCTGGGGATGGGACCCAGGGCCTCCTGCGTGCTAGGTAAGCTCTGCTATTGAGCTGCACGCCCCCCCCCCAGGTACTATTATGCTCTTCACACGAACCCCCTGCGGTAAAGCACCTCCTGGGGACCTCCCACCCACCCTCCTTTTCTCTTAGTATGTGCAAGACACGCAGATACCGGGGGGGGGGTTGAGAGGGGGCCCTCAGGTGTCCCAGGATTTCCAGTAGCTCTCAGTGAAAGAACTGGGGTGTCAGAGTAAGCCATACTGCCCTTTGAGAATTGGGGTAGCAGCGGGGAGGGACTGACATTTGGAGTGGTGGAAAGCGTTCAGCGGAGGAGAATGCTGCAGTCGGAGCCAGCGCTGCATCCTAATCAGTGCTGCGGAGGCTGCGCCGCGTGGCCGTCAATCTTCCACACAAAGGGCCGCCCGAGCCTCCCCCTCGCAGCTCCGGCGCTCCATAGAACGGCGGCGGCGGCGGGGCAGTGCAGAGAGGCAGAGAGAGGCCAGAGAGATACACGGACTAGGACACATGGACACACCCAGTAAATTCACGCAGGGTCCGCAGCATGGCACCCATTAGGCAGGATAGGTCCCTACACTCTGGAGACAAAGAGGTGGAGACAGCGAGAGAACAGACACTGGCGGAGTGGGGAGAGAGGAAAGAGCAAGGACAGAAAGACTGACAGCAGGGAAACCCAAGGGACCTGAGGCAGCAGACACAGGCAAGGACTCAGACCTCAGGAGGACTTAGGCTCAGGGGAAACAAAGTCGTGGACCCAGACCAGGGCTGAGATGCATCCACAGACAAAGAGGGAGATGAAGGGAAGGGAAAGGGGGACAAGGAGAGCAGTGGAGAGCGGAAATGAGGGCAGGCAGTGAAGAGGGCAGGTGCAGGTGGGATGGAGACTGAGTCAAGGGCTCTGCGGGGCTCCTAGGACCTGGGACTCAGTGGCATTAGAAGCTCTTGGGGTGTGTGCATGTGTGTGTGTGTGTGTGTGTGTGTGTGTGTGTGTGTGGCAAGTGTAGGGAGGGGCAGAACACAGCAGTTCTGTGCTTTATACAAAATGCTGGAATCATCTGCTGAAATAGATGAGCACGTGTCTTCCCTCTGCAGTGAGCGACTGCTCACAACAGTTATGGTGGGGCTTGGAAGAGAGAACAACAAAAAGATGGCAGTCAGAGAGACTGAGAGGGAAAGAAAGTGCAGAGCCCCAGCAGAAACCAGAGGGACAGAAATTGATAGTGAAAAGGGAGCAGAGAAACTGACAGAGGAGAGGAAGGGCGGGAAGCGTCAGGAGAGTGGTTGCTGAGAGGAAGGCACACTAAGGAGAAATGGGGGACTTGTCTTCCCAAAGAGGCTGGGCTGGACTGAGACAACCTTACAGATTGTGTGTGTGTGTGTGTGTGTGAGAGAGAGAGAGAGAGAGAGAGAGAGAGAGAGAGATAGTTTGTCCTTTTTTTTTTCTTGCAAAGAACCTTTTCTGATGCATTCAGTCTCCTTCAAAGTACCACTTTTCACTGCTGCCGCCTTTGCCTGGGTCATTCCTGGCAATTCCTCTTTGGGGATCGCTTTTAAAGCCTGCAGCGCGGCTCTGATCATCCTCACAGGAGGCAAATGCTCGTCCTTTAGGGGTAGATCTAATTTTTGAAAACAGCCAAGTATTGTTAGGAATCAAGGCTGGGGGATAAGGTGAGGACCCAGATGGGGAACAATATTTCCCATTAAGAACAAGGTGAATGTGGAAAGGCATGAAGGAAAGTGTGCCCTCTCTCACAATGTCTCTGAAAGGCCTTTCTGAAGGAGAACCTTGCAGGACGTGACAGAAAGTGAACTTCTAGTCACGGCTTGAGGCCCAGTTCCATTTTTTCTGTTTGTTAAAAGCAGCCACCAGTGTGCCCTGCAACATTTATAGCCTGCCATTGGAAGGTGAGGCCTGGCATTTGCTGGAATACCTGGTCATAAGTGGTCCTGCCCTTGAGGAGTCATAATCCTCTTCTGTGCAGACATAATACATGGTAACCTGGTGACACTCAGCACAGGGAGGACCAACAAGTACAAAGGATTTGGGCAAATTCAGAATCAGAGTCAGTTGGTTCAAAAGGGAAGGCTGCCTGGAGGAG